CGGCTCATAGGCGCCCTCAGCATGAGGATAGCCTTCGGCTAAACAGAGCCTTCAGCATACAACAGACTCTGCGAAGATTCCCTTTAGAGAGAAGCAACCACTGCATTTAATGCGCCATCACGTCCAACCACCGCATTTAATGCGGTGCACATGCATATGCTGGTGCCACCCCGATTGAGGTGACTCCTCGGCCGTTAAATTGTTGACACGTGTACTCTCATCGAATTTATGGCAGCTATAAATAACAGCCCTTATTCACCTTATAAAGCACGCTGAGTTAATTTAATAAATTTGACTCTCTCTCTTACTTGCTCTGACTTCTCTCTAGATTGTTCCTCGAATAACCCCTCAGATAAGCTACCCCAAGTACACTATCCATCAAATATTAATCACAATATTAATCATATACGGAATAATAATGTTTTTCAACACTTTTGAACAAGAAAATTTGGTTTAATTAGCGAAGTTTCTCAAAATATGAAGTGTTACATCTTCTAAAGTAGAGAAGTTATTGTTATTCTGAATTCATACTTCACAGTCATATTGTGACATTATTATTGACCATTATATGACAATGCTAGTGCTAATTGACTACAATTTCTAAATATGTGAACAATATGATTTCTCATTTCTTTGCAACAGCTATATAATTTCTCGTTTAAAAAATACTCATAATTTGATATTTCAATACTTTATTTATGTCAATTTCTATTATAATTAATGTGAGATAGGTAGGGCTCAGTAGTATTTAAAACAGTAGTTATGAGTGAGTGCGTATACCGTGCAACCGGTATACGGTGAGCACCGTATACCGGGACGGCTTTGTATTTTTTTTTTCCTTTTGTTTTTAAAAAATTGTAATAACTTTTTTATTTTTGATCCGATTTTTATAAAATTTATATCAACATTTTTTATTTTTCATGATCTCTCAAATGAGACCAATATTGCCAATGTAATTTTAACATATTAACATTTGTGTGTAAAATATGTAACTTTAAGTGTTAAAATATGTAACTTACGTTCAGTCAAGTCAAATGCAACTCGTGTGTATAAATATGTATCTCTACGTGTAACAATATGTAACTTTACGTAAAAAATATGTAACTCGCATTCAGACAGGTCACATGTAACTCGTGTGTATAAATATGTAACTCGTGTGTATAAATATGTAACTTTACGTGTAAAAATATGTAACTTTACGTGTAAATATATGTAAGTCACGTTCAGACATGTCAAATGCAACTCGTGTGTATATATATATGTAACTCGCTTATAAAAAGATGTAACTTGCTTATAAAAAGATGTAACTCGCTTATAAAAAGATGTAACTTGCTTATAAAAAGATGTAACTCGCTCATAAAAAGATGTAACTCAATGTATTATCAAATGTAACTGAGGTCACTGATCCACTCCCAAACAGATTCGATCTTCTATTTCACAAACCTATCATCTCCCAAACAGATTCGATTTTTCTTATAATCCAATACTCATTAATATAATAGTTCGATAATTTCTTAAAATTACATACACAATATTAGTCTCATTTGAAAGATCATGAAAAATAAAAAATGTTGATATAAATTTTATAAAAATCGGATCAAAAATTAAAAAGTTATTATCATTTTTAACATCAAAAGCAAAAAAAAAGGAGATGCTGCGTCGTTTTTGCAACCGGGCGCACCATCCTCATGGTGCGCCGGTTGCACCATATAATTTGCGGTTATGAGTATGACACATAGGCAGCGAGGCTAAGTGGCTAACATGTGCATCTGAGCTTGCGAGTATACTAAATCCTATTAAATGGGTGATCAAACCGTAGGCTGCATCACATAATTATCTTGGGAAAAGGTGCAAATAAGCACTGATACTTTTTATAGGAGGCTCTGTTCAGCCGTCGTCATTTAGAGAGGTTCTCGGTGGAATTTTTTTGAAGATGCTAAAGAAAATCATCAAAAAATTCCACAGGTAACCGCTCCAAATGACAACGGCTGAACAAAGCCTCTTATAAAATGAGTGATTTGCACTTTTTAGATTAGTTCGAGGTCTTATTTGCGTCGTTCCCCTAATTATCTTCTAAATTTCTTTTTTCATTCTAATCAATCACACAATATTCACTTTCTTAATTCGTATCTCAAATATATTTTGAAATACAAATATCATAAACGGAGAGATAGGAGTACATGGCACCTTTCTGCCATGATTGGGCGTACCTGGTTCCTATCTTTAACAAGAGTGGCCGTTCTGCAATAGTGCAATCAATTTTTTTTGTTTATACAAAAGGATATCTTTTTACCAATTCTGTCATATTAGCTGTTGCAGTACTCATAATTAATATACTTCTATATAAAAGGGTACCATTGGCCATTGGGGTTGTGGAAAGGATGACACCCCATCGGAAGCCCCCCAACTTCGACCGGACGGTACGTTGGAAGGATTGACATTGGGGTTGTGGGATGTGGCTCTCTGTGAACAGGGGTGTAGCTAGGGAAGGGTCAACCCTGGCTCTGGGTCATCCTAAATTTAAAAAATGTCTATATTTTTAGTTTAAAAAATTTCATGTATTTTTTTTTTCAAAAATATTCTTTATACCGACCCAGACCGGCCCAGTGCTCTGACTCCGCCCCTGTCTGTGAACACGCATTCTACGAAGTCTGATTCTTAGAAGAGACATGGAGGGTATATTGTATTAGGAGTTAGTGTCAAAATTTTAAAAGTCCATTAATTTTAAAAGTTTAGGTGTACACTCATTCTGTGAACACACATTCTTCTTTCGTTCTTCTTCTTCTTCTTCAGCTTGCCCTACCCCATCCCTCTCGATGCCCCGTCGATGCCCCCTCGCTTCGTTAATCCCATATCGATTCGATTCTAGAAGTTTTTAGAAGAACCGATATAAGAATCGATAATATTACATCAGTGCAATTCTAGTATGTCATTAGTTAACTATTAAGAAAATAAATATTTTAACTATTACTTTCTTTCATCGTTAAATCGCTAACACATAAAAATATAAGTTCAAATTAATAAATATATAACCGTAAATAAGTATACAAAATTTTACAAGATGGAAATGAAAAGAAAACAATTACTAAGAAAAGCTTGATTGCATCTATGCTTGTACCACATGTAGCGACGAGTGTAACGCTTGTATAACGATTAATGTTCTTACTCATTAATAAAATGAGAGAATTCTTGAAACTTTGAGTCTTTTTAATAAAAATAAAATTGACTTCTTATGCTTCATTTATTCTTATAGAACTCTGTGTTGCTATATATATGAATTACATTTGTTTCATTTATTTATTTATTTATTTATTTGTTTATTTATTTCTTATCATACTCCGTATTATACTGAAGAAATTATTCACGGTAGGACTAAAACATACTCCCTCCGTCCCTTATAACTTTGCCAATTTTCCTTTTTTGGTTGTCCCAAAAACTTTGCCACTTTCTCTTTTAATCGATCAATTTGTGGCTCCTGTTATTTCTCTCTCCTCTGCACAAATATCTACCACACAGTTTTTACTTTATTATTCTACGTGCTGGTCAAACTTGGCAAACATTTAAGGGACGGAGGAAATATCATTTTTCTTAATGTATAATCACATGTTTGATTTTCCTCAAATAGGACTAAATATTACATATTCACCCTTTATTGAATTAATTATTTAATATAATTAATTGTTCTTAGTTCCCTTGCATAACCAAAGCCATTTTGTTGGTGGCGGATCAGTCCGATGAGGATAGCGTGAAACTCCGGTGATGGAGACGAACAGACTTATTAAAGTCCAAGTAAAAACAATAAGTCATTGTCACGATAAATCAAGATGTAAAGATGTGTAGATTAATTTGATAAAACAGAATGAGCAAGACAAAAGCAAATTTTCTAGTAGAATTGAAAGAAATTTGGTGTATTTTTTTGGTAAAAAGAAATTGGTGTACGATAATTTATTTGAATATGTACGGCAAGAAAAACAATGGGTATTTGTATCCCAAGTCCCCACCAGGCAAAGCCACTATATAAAGCCCACACACTTTGGGAACTTAATTGCAGCCTCTGCTTATACCAATCGAAAGCAATACCCAATAATATATATAGAGCCCGTTTGGTAGCACGAAAATCGGCTGTTTTGGCTGATTCTGCTGAAATTTATGAAGTTCTGGCTGAAGTGGCTGTTTTGACTGATTCTGTTGATTCAAGAAAAAAATATTTTAAAAATGTATTTTATTAATAAATTAAAGAAAAAATTACATGTAAAAATAGCTAAAATGCCTCTGCAGTAACTTCAGCCAATACAGCCAGAAAAGTAACTCCAACCTTACTTTTTCTGCTTATTACACAATTCAGCACACGGAAGTAAAAGTTACGTGTTTGGTGAAAAAGCTGAATGATAAACCTGATAAGCCGAAAAAAGTGGTCTCCAAACGGGCTCATAATGTCGACAGAAAGCTGTGTGCAAGTTCTTCACATGAATGGTGGTGCGGGAGACACCAGCTATGCTCGTAATGCTACACCTCCGGTTCGTATTCTCTTCCTTTCTGTCTCTCTCAAACACTGCCCAAGCCGCAAGCTACTTTAGTTTTAGTTGGATTATGGTGTAATATTACGTGATCATAAGGTGGGAATTATGGTGTAATATTTTACAAAGATAAGAAAATAACTTGGAATAACAGGCCATTAATAGGTTAGGGACTAGTGAATGAAGATGTGGTGCAAAGGTTGGATTATTCATGAATAATGAAAATGTGGCACTATTGTAAGAAGACCGCTAAAAGGTTGTATTATTAGTTTCCATTTTCCCAAAAATCTACGACTTTTGTAAAAGAGCTACCTTTTGAAATTTAGAAAAATATACCCACACAGTTGCACGCCCATCATGCAGGTAAACACGTGTACACGAGAAAGAAGATTGAGTTTATGTGAGACACGCATGACTATGTCTCATTTCACTCATATAAAAGAAATCATAGCAAAACAAAGACACAATTTTTATTATAATTTCACTCATAACAAAACATATATAATACAATTATAACCCTTATAAATTAAGGAGACTCATAAGCATCATTTATTAAAACTATTTAATATTGCTCTATTGCAGTGTTTATTGTTTAATTGCTCCGTACGTATATGTTTTTGATCATGTCTTTCATACATAATTTGATAAATTAATATTCCCAATCATTTAACAAAGAGAGATAAAACCAAAATGGGATATTCCAATCTATCCATGAATTGGATAACTTTGTTCTGAAACCTAAGAAATACTTCATCCATGAGTCCTTGTCCAAGCTGTGCTTTTAAAAGAGGTTCAAAGACTGATCTTGTATATCTGGTCAAGAACACTCCTCTCTTTCTAACATCCACCAAAGAGTACAAATCATTATCACTTCCATCTTGATTGAGATTTGATCCATCCCAACATACTCTCAAACTTTCTAAACTTTCAATCTTAAAAGACCCTTCTTCGTCAATCATTTCTTGGATTTCCTTTGCAGTAGGGTGATATAAAGGAAATCTCAAACTCTCCGATTTTGCCGTTTCAATTATATTCTGCACCCAAAACAAATATTAACTGGACATGTTTGACTAGTATATAGTTTATAATGTATGTGTTCCACAAGAATTTGCAAGTTTATTAGTTTGATTTTCTTTTCTTAGTTATGATATAAGTTTTTAATGGATCATATTCTAATTTTGATTTTACATGAATGAACATAAGTACATACCTGTAAAGCCATATCTATGATCACTTGATGGAAGATGCCTGGAACGCTTATAAAATCAGAAGTGTCGTATCTGCCGATTAAAGTTAGGAGCATGGCTCCCCCAGGAACTATTTCATCAGAGCGTGATCTCAAGAACAAGTGCAAGTCTTTCTTAAACTGACCCTTATAAGATGGTGGAGCTTTGTTTGTCAAATAAACATTGCTTCGTTCATCAAGTGGTAGTTGTATTTCACCCTTTATCTCTTTGGGAGCCTGCTTATTTGCAAACAAATAAACACACTCGACTAAATAAGATCACAATAGACCAGACTATAAATGCAAATAATATTAGACGTTATTAAAAAAGGGATGACGCCTCAATCCTGAAGTCTCGCCAGAGCAAAACCGAAAGTTATCTGGAAGGATGTAAGTACATTCTGATGGAAAGAAAGTGAAAATCCATCTCAAGTCATTGTTTGAAGTTGAACCCAAGACCCCAAGACACTTCCCTCGCAATATCCTCATTCTATCTGGTGATCCACGCCCCCGGTATATTAGACATTATTGGACTAGATTGAATGGGACTAGAGTAGTCCCTGTAAGATTAAATTCCAAGATCGGCATCATATAAGTATATATAATCTTATACTGATAGATTTGAGATTTAGAAATACATGGATCCATGAAAAATGAATGAACTGGAATAAATCCCTTATCCCCTCTCACCTTTTTCCTTATGGGATTCTCGACAGGTAGAGATCACTCACTTATATTGTGTTGTTATTCCATAGGGAATAAGCATATATAGAGAGAGGCAGAGCAGAGGGTTGGGGAACCCTAGTCCTAGACAAACTCAAACACAGATTCAGTCTATCATTAAACCAATTAAAGGTCTAGGATTATATGAACTCTATTAATAATATATAACCATAATATATAACCATAATTACATGACCAATATGAGAATATTACTACCTCCGTTCCACCAAGATTGGAACAAGAGAATGTGACACGATTATTAACAAAAGTGGTTTTGTATGGTTGATTAAATTAATAAAGTAAGAATAAAGTAAAAATGATTTAGAACCACACAAACTTTACCAAATTCGATATAGAACAATCTAAGTTGGATTTCTCGAAAAGGTAAAATGAGACAATTACATAAATATTCTAACAGTCCCACGCTAGAAAATTTCAGTCCAATCAGTCAATCAAACATGACATTAAGATAGGTGTGTGACCTGAGCGAGCCAATGGAGTGCGAAAGAGGAAAAGAAGAAATGTATCGACCGCGAGGGGAAGAGTCTGCCATAGAAATTCCCAGGTGTTGCATTAAAGAAACACAGTCCATCAGCTTTCCTCTTCTCTTTCAGAAATCCAGGTATCAATTTGAACAATGTATTGAAGTCGTTCCCAAACAGATCATTAAGGAAAATCTGGAAAGTAGGTGGCTTTTCATTACTATTATTAGTATTATTGCTGCTTATCGTTGCTTCTTCTGCTACCATACCAATTGTGTCGATGATGTTGGATGCAGCAATGAATGCATGAACTCCCGAAGAACAACCCAAATCTGCAATTCTGAAACAGCTTGGAGAAGGGATGATTCTTTCGAGCATCTTCTTTATGCTTTCTTCCATGATTGGCTTGGCCTTCATCATCACCTTTAGCTGGTAATTAATGAAGACATACATGAACGCCATTTAGTAAGGAGTACATATGAATTACTATCGTATACGTAGTATAACATATTATGAGCTCTCTAGATCCTCGAAATGGGGAAAATCTGCTGAACTTGTGATCATTGTAATTTAAACTTATACGGAGTATTTAAATTACATTGCACTAGATTCTTTACTCGTGCATTCTACGGGATGAAGAGTTTATATGTTTAAACATGTTATTAGATGAACGTGATCGTGGGAAATAGTTTGATAGACTCGGATTTAAATCACTCATATCTTGGGAGAGTTCTTAAGAGCACGCAAAGGGTTTACTACTATTACTATTACTATTGTTATTGAGATCTACAAGATGTGATTGTTATTTGTTTATGTAAGGATGTTATGAATTGGACTAAAACTTTCCGATATGGTCCATTTAAATATGGTCTAATGTTGTTTATTATGGTCTAGTCTAATATGATCTAATTCAGTAATGTCAAAGAATAAAAAAGTCTTTCATTTAGGAGTGAACCCGATCGAGATCAGATGATGCAACGACCAGCTTTGATCAACTTTCTGGCAATTTGCCTCTTTCGGAGGTCTGGTGTATATAAATTTTATTTGTCTAGTCTGATCTAATAAAGGTTGTTCTATTTAGTATATATATGGTGGGATTTATTTAAATGTGTGGTCTAGCCTGAAAGTGATTTCAAATCAAGATATCTTAAATATTCTAATCTACCTTAATTGGAATCACATCAATTATATATTACTACTCCCTCCGTCCCCCTGTTATTGTCCCATTTCCTATTCACTTGGTCAACAAAAAATCACTCTTAACCTCTTACTTTATGTATCAATTTTTTATCAAATTTGATTCTGGTTTTTGCGACTTTGTAAATCTTTTAATGTAGTTTATGAATATGTAATTTTTTTTCCTAAAAAAATTTGAGTGCGGACAAGGATCTGTTTGCTTTATCGACGGTCAAGCATCGTAAACCACACATTTTCACTTTATTCCACTTTCTTAATCTTCGTGCCAAGTAAAAGTGGGAAGAATTTTCTGGGACGGAGGGAGTACTACAGGGGCCGTCCGGTTGCACCACAGGGGCCGTTCGGCCGACGGCTTTTGGCCGCCTTCCCGGTGGAATTTTTTGATGAAATTTTTATGGCATGTTCTTTATCAAGTCTAGTTTATTCACAAAAAAAATTAAGCTAAAAACTTAATCCGGAAGGTCGTCAAATGATTTTTTGAAGTTGACTGCGTTTTTTGTGTGTAATTTTGCACAGTTAACTTCAAAAAATCATTTGAAGATCTTCCGGATTGAGTTTTTAGCTGAATTGTTTTGTGAATGAACTAGACTTGATGAAGAACATGCCATAAAAATTTCATCAAATAATTCCACTGGGAAGGCAACCAAACGCCATCGGCCGGACGGCGCTTCTCCTGCGGACGGACGCACCAGAACCACCCTCTGTATAATACGGAGTACTCTTTAAGATAATGATATTTACGAATGGGAATGCTCTAAACTCTAAAGGACGTCATAATCAAAATGAAATTGCATTGAGTTTTTTCCAGAATAATGCTAAATAAAAAAATATTTACGAAATTAGGGTCGGATTAAAACTATTTACCAAAATACTGTTGGAATAAACTAGGGTCAGAGAAAACCGCCAAACCATTTAGCGACACTCTAAATAATACGGAGGAAGTGCGTACAAGGGAAGCAAGTTTCGGGGAGACTAACATGTACGGGAAGAGGTGGGGCCAATGTAGAAGAAATCCTCTTTTTTCTTTATATGACTATAACTTTCATATTTTTGCTCCATTTTTTTTGAAACATATACCAAATTTTATATCAATTTATCAATTTAATATCAATCGCACGTAAAAATCTACTTTTATTAAAAATTGCACCACCCCACTTAAAGTCGCAATCTTAGGAGGACAAAGTAATACTACCCCCGTCCCTAAAAGATCTTCCAATTGTGGGTTACGAAGTTTGACCAACGATAAAGTTAAAAGAGAATTCTTCTAAGTAGGAGTAAAAAAGGTTTTGAAATTCCAAAATAGGAGTATCATGTATTTTATTCCGTGAATATGAGTAAATTTCTGCCAAGTTTGACATTACTAGGCTTTAAACATGACATTTTTTTCCAAACTTGGCAGATTACTCCTATTCAGGGAATATAAAACATGATACTCCTATTTTGGAATTTCAAAACGATTTTAATCCTATTTAAAGCAATTTCAATTCTATAAAGTTAAATGATCTTTGTGAAAACTCATATTAGTTTTAGTGAATAAAAATTACATATTCAGAAACTACATTAAAACCGCTTTCAAAAAATAAAAGATCAAAAGTGATTTAAGTTAACTCTCAAACTAAAACTAAAGTAGCTTCTAGCTTGTGCAGTGTTTGAGAGAGACAGAAAGGAAGAGAATACGAACCGGAGGTGTAGCATTACGAGCATAGCTGGTGTCTCCCGCACCACCATTCATGTGAAGAACTTGCACACAGCTTTCTGTCGACATTATATATATTGGGTATTGCTTTCGATTGGTAGAAGCAGAGGCTGCAATTAAGTTCCCAAAGTGTGGGCTTTATATAGTGGCTTTGCCTGGTGGGGACTTGGGATACAAATACCCATTGTTTTTCTTGCCGTACATATTCAAATAAATTATCCTACACCAATTTCTTTTTACCAAAAAAATACACCAATTTTCTTTCAATTCTACTAGAAAATTTGCTTTTGTCTTGCTCATTCTGTTTTATCAAATTAATCTACACATCTTTACATCTTGTACAATAGATGCAATCGAGCTTTTCTTAATAATTGTTTTCTTTTCATTTCCATCTTGTAAAATTTTGTGTACTTATTTACGGTTATATATTTATTAATTTGAACTTATATTTTTATGTGTTAGCGATTTAACGATGAAAGAAAGTAATACTTAAAATATTTATTTTCTTAATAGTTAACTGATGTAATATTATCGATTCTTATATCGGTTCTTCTAAAAACTTCTAGAATCGAATCGATATGGGATTAACGAAGCGAGGGGGCATCGACGGGGCGTCGAGAGGGGTGGGGTTGGGCAAGCTGAAGAAGAAGAAGAACGAAAGAAGAATGCGTGTTCACAGAATGAGTGTACACCTAAACTTTTAAAATTAATGAACTTTTAAAATTTTGACACTAACTCCTAATACAATATACCCTCCATGTTGTTGGTGATTTTAGTATCACCAGGTTGATTTTAGTGTAATGGAATTTACAGATTACCAATGGAGTTCAAGTTTAATTTTAGACAAGTTAGGAGGTGCGGAGAACACACTTGTACGAAATTAAATTTAAACTTGGTTCGATTAAATGGCGGGGGTCAAGGGTGCTGTGCCCCCTTGCGGGGTCCAAGGGGCAGCGCCCCTGGCGGGGTCCAAGGGGCAGCGCCCCTGCACCAAAATTTTATTTTATTAAAGAAATAAATATGGAAATTTATTTTCGGATAAACATGTTCATATTAATTATTTAATAGAATGACTTTCTGTTAGAGTAAAACTCTAACTGATTGGCCTTATCTCTTTGGTAATCAGAAGAATTCGAGTTCTACTAAAACTGCTAGTTCGTGGTCTATATATTGGTGCCTCAGTTTTAGACTGTCTCTCAGAGTGATTATCCCCATAATCTAAATTTCGTGTAACCCAGGCATAGGGTCGAAATATTAGATTCGGAAAGTGATCACACGATACTCTGAGAAATCCGCCAGATTTTCTAAAACAGTTTCCCAACTCCCCAGTTTTAACACATGTCTCTTCTAAGAATCAGACTTCGTAGAATGCGTGTTCACAGACAGGGGCGGAGTCAGAGCACTGGGCCGGACTGGGTCGGTATAAAGAATATTTTTGAAAAACAAATACACGAAATTTTTTAAACTAAAAATATAGACATTTTTCAAATTTAGGATGACCCAGAGCCAGGGTTGACCCTCCCCTAGCTACACCCCTCTTCACAGAGAGCCACATCCCACAACCCCAATGTCAATCCTTCCAACGTACCGTCCGGTCGAAGTTGGGGGCTTCCGATGGGGTGTCATCCTTTCCACAACCCCAATGGCCAATGGTACCCTTTTATATACGAAGTATATTAATCATGAGTACTGCAACAGCTAATATGACAAAATTGGTAAAAAGATATCCTTTTGTATAAACAAAAAAAATTGATTGCACTATTGCAGAACGGCCACTCTTGTTAAAGATAGGATCCAGGTACGCCCAATCATGGCAGAAAGGTGCCATGTACTCCTATCTCTCCGTTTATGATATTCGTATTTCAAAATATATTTGAGATAAGAATTAAGAAAGTGAATATTGTGTGATTGATTAGAATGAAAAAAGAAATTTAGAAGATATTTAGTGGGACGGGGTCAGGCCGGTCCTGAGGAAATGAAGGCCCTGTGCAGAAAAAATAATTGGGCCTTCTTTTCAAAGTTTCAACACAAGTTAAAAAAATCGAACCGAAACCGCATCGACTCAAACGGGACCCGAAAGTCGGGACTCGAACATAAATCGATTTAATGAAGATTTTTTGACTTATAAAATCGGTTCAAACCGATCTGAACCGATTTTTATTAAGAGGTATTTTAATTATTTATTTTTTAGAACAAATAGGTAATATAAAACTTGTACGTCCGTATTTCAACAATTAGTTGATTTGGTCCGGTGGTTGATGTTTAGAAATCAGCGTGCATGCTTTTATTTTCACCTGGGTTCAAATTCTGCATGCCTCGCTCGCTCCTCCTTTGCAGATGAGGAATACGCGAAGTGACGAACCAGACCTGCTTCAAAGCCTTGTCCTAGTCCACCTAAGTAATACTACTCCCTCCGTCCCGCTAACATTGGGATAAGAGGGAGTGACACACAAATTAATAAAAAGTGGTTTATGTGGTTGATATTGAATTGATAAAGTAAGAATAAAGTAAGAATGATTTAGTGCCACACAAATTTTACCAAATTTGGTATGAGACAATCTTAATGGGACAAACCGATAAGGTAAAATGAGACAATCATAGCGGGACGGAGATAGTTGTATACTACTACAAAAAAAAAATTGGGCCCTTCCAATTTTTTGGGCCCTGTGCGGTTGGACACCTTGCACACCACCAGGGCCGGCCCTGGACGGGGCAAATAAGACCTCGAACTAATAGAAAAAGTGCAAATCACTCATTTTATAGGAGGCTTTGTTCGGCCGTTGTCATTTGGGGCGGTTATCTGTGGAATTTTTTGATGATTTTCTTTAGCATCTTGAAAAAAATTCCACCGAGAATCTCTCTAAATGACGACGGCTGAACAGAGTCTCCTATAAAAGGGATCAATGCTTATTTGCACCTTTTCTCAAGATAATTATGTGATGCAGCCTACGGTTTGATCACCCATTTAATAGGATTTAATATACTCGCAAGCTCAGATGCACATGTTAGCCACTTAGCCTCGCTGCCTATGTGTCATACTCATAACTATTGTTTTAAATACTACTGAGCCCTACCTATCTCACATTAATTATAATAGAAATTGACATAAATAAAGTATTGAAATATCAAATTATGAGTATTTTTAAATGAGAAATTATATAGCTGTTGCAAAGAAATGAGAAATCATATTGTTCACATATTTAGAAATTGTAGTCAATTAGCACTAGCATTGTCATATAATGGTCAATAATAATGTCACAATATGACTGTGAAGTATGAATTCAGAATAACAATAACTTCTCTACTTTAGGAGATGTAACACTTCATATTTTTAGAAACTTCGCTAATATAACCAAATTTTCTTGTTCAAAAGTGTTGAAAAACATTATTATTCCGTATATGATTAATATTGTGATCAATATTTGATGGATTGTGTACTCGCGGTAGCTTATCCGAGGGGTTATTCGAGGAACAACCTAGAGAGAAGTCAGAGCAAGTAAGAGAGAGAGAGAGTCAAATTTATTAAATTAACTCAGCGTGCTTTATAAGGTGAATAAGGGCTGCTATTTATAGCAGTCATAAATGCGATGAGAGTACACGTGTCAACAATTTAACGACTGAGGAGTCACCTCAATCGGGGTGGCACCAGCATATGCATGTGCACCGCATTAAATGCGGTGGTTGGACGTGATGCCACATTAAATGCAGTGGTTGCTTGTCTCTAAAGGGAATCTTCGCAGAGTCTGTTGTATGCCGAAGGCTCTGTTTAGCCGAAGGCTATCCTCATGCTGAGGGCGCCTATGAGCCGAAGGCTCCCGATTTATGTCGTTTTCTCCTAGTAGCTTCGTATGCTCACATGAAGCTGTTCTGTGAAATTCGGAGCCCTCGGCCAAGGAGGCCGAAGGCACTTACATGTGTATTTGTGGGCTTCTTGATACTTGGGCCGCCATGTATGGGCTTTGTGTGCTCTTTGGGCTTGATGGACCTGAGCAAGAGAAGTAGGAGTTTGTGGGCCGGGGGTCCTCGGGTCATATACTCCATCAATATTCTTTCTCTCCTCCAAATACAAATCTCAAAACATCTAATTTCTTTTCAGAAACTTTTCAAAAAAGTATTAAAATTGAACTTAGCTTATTTACGAAAATAAGACTAACAGTTAATAATATAATATTATATTTTCATAGGAACTTATATTTAAAAATTAAACACAAATTAATATCATTAAATTACTACTATAGTTACGTTACTACATTTAAGGGGTCACATTTTCGCACGTTAGTAAAAGTTAATAAAGTTTAAGATAATATAAATAATATTTTAGGTACATTTCATCATCGATCTTTCATAATCGAATACATTTTATTTAGACTAATTATTTTTGTACACAAAATAATTAGTGTACCCCAAATTTGTACACAAAGTGTACATGGCCAATGTATGTATACACGCATTTGGACTGAAAATTATGTCATTTTTCAAACCAATTGTGTGTACACAGACAACTAGAGGGGTGTACAAATTGGGATACAAATTGGGGTACCTGTAGCATTTATGTAAGATTAATTTATGTCTCTCTACATACGGTATAACAACACGAATCGATATTAAAAGGGAGTGGTGCCATTAATAAGAAAAGAGAAATTTTTGATTGATATTAAATTGATAAAGTGTAAAGAAAGTAAGAATGAATGATACTCACACAAATGTTACTAAATATAGTATGAGACAAAAAATGTGGGATGAATGAAAAAGGTAAAATGAGACAAAAATAGGGGATGGAGGGAATACAGGACAATAGTGATCTTGTCAGGCGCGCTTGACCAAATTCATTGTCGGGCAAGCCGGTTGATAACTTTTATGGTGGATTTTTTTATGATTTTTTTTTAGCATTTTCTTATGAAGTGTAGATTGTCTTAAAATTCAATCAAGAAGTCTATTAAATAAAATATTGAAAGATACAATATTGGCCAAGTTTGATTGACACATGGATTAAAAAAGTAAAAACTGTGTTATTGAGATTTGTGCAGAGGAGAGAGAATTAACTTAAATCATAAATTCTTTACTTAAAAGATAAAATGACAAAGTTAGTGGGACAAGCAAAAAAGAAATGCCGGTAAAGTTTTAAGGGATGAAGAGAGTACGTATAAAACAAAGTGTTATTAAATAATTTATTTAACTTACTTCCGGATTGAATTTTAAATTGAAATTTTGTAGAAATAATTTACATTTCATGAAAAAATTCATGAAACCGGTTTGGCGCGCCTGATATTCACTCATTAGAAGACCATCGAGTATTCATTATACTATTGCATTGAAAATCAGAATGAATTCAAAAATCATCTCCATCCTATCATAAAATCATAAAATAACCAGATAGGAAACTGAACTTCATGAGATGGTCAAGAC